GGAAGGCTGTGCTCTTTGATCTTCATCAGTAAATATTTTAAGTCCTCTTCACTTTCAGCAAGCAAGGTTGTATCATCTGCATATCTCAGGTTGTCTGAAATATGAGATATAAAGTCTCACCATCCTGGCTTCCAAGGAGCATACTGGGTGTACGTCTTCCAACCAACATAATTTGTTCTTTTGGCAGTTCACAGTACTTTTTTAATGTTCTCCTTTAACATCGTAATTTAGAATGCATCAATTCTTCTGCAGTTTTCCTTATTCACTTGACCTATTACATGCTAAGGAGCTCTGGTAGCGTAGTGGTTACGAATTGGGCTGCTAACCTCATGGTCGGCAGTTCGAAACTACCAAGTGTTCCGTGGGAGAAAGATGAGGCTTTCTGCTCCCGTAAAGATTTACAGCCTCGGAAACCCTGTACAGGGTCGCTGTGGATCGGAGCTGACTCCATGGCACATAACAACAACAACAACTACATGCCAAAGGTGCTCTGGTAGCGTTGTGGTTACAAGTCAGGCTGTTAACCTCAAGGTCAGCTTTCGAAACTACTAGCTGTTCCACAGGAGAAAGATGAGGCTTTCTGCTCCTGTAAAGATTTAGACTCGGAAACCCTATGCAGGGTCACTGTGAGTTGGAACCGACTTCATGACACCACCACCTCCACCATTACATGCCAACCTTGAAATGATTTCATTGGATTCTCACAAAATCACCATGCCTTCCACATCATTACCTCCCACCCCCATTACTCAGCATTAATTGAGCTCTTACTGTGTCAAGACATCAATAAATGTAAGGTTCTCAAAGGCTGATCACATCTGGGGGATGGTGAAAAGAAAGGAGTTTGGGACAATCCCAGATTTTTGGGATGGGGTAGTAAAAGTTTCTAGAAGGTCAGGGCTGGGTTTGTTTGCTATCATGTTTTCAGGGCTTGGAATGAGGCTCGCACATGGTTGGTGTTAGTGGCTGTTGAGTTGGTGCCCAGGTCCTAGTGGCCTCAGGAATAACAGAACTATGCTTGCGCTGCATTGGCTGGGAATTGAACCTGGGTCTTCTGCATGGAAGGTTCGTCTACCATGGAAACGCCACTGACCCTTAGCTGTGCATTTGAACCATCTGCAGAGCTTTAAAATATGTATATATACCAAAAGGGTGAGGAACCTCCATCAAAACAATTTCCTAAGGAAAGCTCCAAGCTTGAGTGCTTCTAATGATTTTAAAGCACAGCCACGGTGTTGAATAGCTTATTTAGATCACGCATGGAAACACTGATCCTCTCATTACTAATTCTTCACTGTCTTTAGTCAGTGCACATGGCTTGTTGTTAAGTGCTTTTGAGTGGCTTCTGACTCACAGCAAACTTGTACAGGGTTCAGTGGAACGGCTGGGGAGTTTGAACTGCCGCCCTCGTGTTTCAATCTGCCCTTTCAGTCTAGTGCTTATTCTACAGGACTCCAGTGCCCACGGCTGTTGTTATTAGGTGCCACTGAGTTGGTACCGACTAATAGCGACTCTATGCACAACATAACGAAGCCCGGTCCTGGGCTAGCCTCGTAATGGTTGCCACGCTTGAGCCCATTGATGCCACCATTTTGCCAATCCAAACATGGTATCCTTCTCCAGCGACTGATCCCTCCTGACAATACGTCCTAAATATGAGAGACAAAGTCTGGCCATCCTGGCCTCCAAGGAGCACTCTGGTTGTACTTGTCCGGCAGCCTACGGCACTTTGAGTATTCTCCTCCAACACCATAACTCAAATGCATCAATTCTACTATTTTAGACGAGCTTATCATGCATATGAGCTTATTGAAAATACCATGACTTGGATCAGGCGCACCTTTATCTTCCAGCTGACATCTTTGTTCTTCAGCACTTTAAAAAGGTCTTGTGCAGCAGATTTGCCTAATGCAATCCTTCGTTTGATTTCTTGGCTGCTGCTTCTGTGAGTGTTGATAGCTGATCAAGAATGAAGTACTTGATAACTTCAATCTTTTCTACATCTGTAAGAACGTTGTTTGCTGGTCCAGTGGTTGAGTTTTGTTTACATTGAGGTGCAATCCATACTATGGCTATGGTCTTTGATCTTCATCAATAAAGTATTTTAAGTCTGCCCATGGTAGACATTGATAATCATACTCAGTCTCAAGAGAAGTCTTACAACTGACCTCTAGGTGCCCCAGCCTCCCAGGATAGCATCTCCTCCAGTGTCTCCCCAAAGTGAGGAGGGCCCAGCCCCCGACTGGGTGAGGAACAAGGTCAGATCTGGCACCTAATGGGTGCATTGCCATCAAGGAGGATGGAGACAGCCGTTGTGGGCCTAGCCCACCTTTCCCAAGTAAAGTGCTGTCATTCCTCCCCACACCCACACCAGCCTGCACCCCCTGCCTTAGACATCTAGCGGACCTTTGGAGCCTAGCTCAAGTTGCTCCTGCCACCCTGCCCTACCCTGAAGCCTGTCTCCTCCCTCAGGATTCAGGGGACAAGGGAAGCCCTTTCTTAACATTTACTGCAATTATGAACCCAGCTCTGAGTACAACCTTGATTCTATTGTCCATGAGTGTGGCCTGAAGGGGAAGGAGGATGGAAGAGAGAGGTGGGTGCCTGCCAAGACCCCTCTGCTGATGCACCCTCATTCCCTCACAAAGGGCTCCTACTCTGCCCACCAGCTGTTCTTTCTGTTCTGGGACAGATGCTGCTGGGGAAATGTGGACGGTGAGGAGGGGGCATCGGTGGGAATTCCAACCTTTCCCCGACAGGCCACTCACGGTGCATCAGTACCTCCATCCCTCACCT